TTCAGTTTCGATTACCTGTTTTCGAACGCTTCCCCAACTGGTTTAAAAACTGGTTTTTAATTTGGGGATCAACCACTTCAATTTTACCACCTGCTTTCCAAAAAGTGCAGGAACAATTTGTAAAATTCAATAATAACAATAATGATATTGATAATCACCTTTACTTTGTGGCTCTATATCAACTCCCATGGATTATGAAATGGGAATATACTATCTCTGTCAATAATACAGCCGACCATACCTACATTCCTAGACTGGGCAAAACCATCTCAGTCAAGTGGTGGGATATCTTTAATATGGATCTCACAACCATAGTTCCCAAGAGAATACCTCCACAAAAACCTATATATCACCCAAGTCCAAGTGACCATAATACAGCCAATACTTCATTTGATTTTCCTACATATTTCCGAAATATGCTCCAATCTAACCCCAATGCTTCCAAAGAAATGCTAGAACAACAAATGAAAGAGATTTTTGCAGAAGCAGGAAGGAAACCGATTTCATCAGACGAAACCGTACAATCCTCACCTTTGCACACCAACCAATATTTGCAACTCGACGAAGCAGATTCAGAAGAAGAAACAGATCCAGAAGAAGAAGATCCAGATGAGTTTAGCCAAAGACCCTAACAAATACTCCATCATACCTTACCAACAGAAGCCACCGACATACTGTATAAAGATGCCCTGTCACCATCACCACCGACAGAAAAAGACAAGAAGCCATTGTTCACAGATGCCTTTACTGTGGCCACTTCCATAAGAAGACAAGAAGCCACTGTTCACAGATACTTTTACTGTGGCCACTTTCATAAGAAACAAACAAGTCACTGTACATGATGCTCTTTTAAGCATCATCTTTTCTCTTTTTTGTTTTTTACTTTTACTTTATGTCTTCTTCGGTTCTACTTTAGTCCTCTCTCCCTTTCGGTCTCATCACTCCTTTGCTTTATCCCGAAGCAATCTCCTCTATATAAGGAGGCTCCCTCTCATTCCTCAGGCAGGTCGCAAGTCTCTTAAGCAACCCATTCTGCAGGGCGAAAGTCTTCCCGAGCTCCTTCAGCTCCACTCTTCTGCTCTCTCCCTCTCTCTGCTCTCTCTTTTTCTCTGCTCCCCCTTCTTCTCTCTCTTCTGCCCGAAGATATTTCATCAAGCTATCCTGACCTCATAGCTTCGTACCTCACTTGACTTACCAGGTTCTATCTCTCCTCCTTATCTTTATATAACAACATGTGTGATTGTAATCTGAATTCTCTTCCTTCCTATTGCCCTCAACACTAAAAACTATTTTCCAGTTATTGCATATGTAAACTGTACGTGTATTCTTACCTTTTGTATTAGTTTGTATATCAGTTTTAATACATTTTGTCATAATTTGTAATAGTTTTTATATCAGTTTGAATACAGTTTATATCAGAAACGTGTATTATTACATGTTATAAAGAATGAAATATTATGCAATTTAAAATATTATTTAGTCTTAAAATAGGAGATTTCAACCACACACAGTGGTTAGTCATTGATATATCAATTGTACCTTTTATATGCATAGTTCTTTTCTGTCTAAATTTTTACAAAATTCTACAAGAAATAGTCAAATATAACAGTTTAATCTTCACATATTTATTATAAACAAATACATAATTTTTACTAGAGATCTCGGCGCGTTTTGGTATATATATATATGAAAGATACTATAAAATGGCTATAGGACAAAATGAATAGTGATTTCGCCTACCTTCATTGTATTCTAAAATTCATTGCACGATCACAGTTGCCAATAGTGTTTCAATTTTTATAAATCGAAATGATCCGAAATTTGAAGAATCTATTCATAAAAAATTAGAGAATCTAATAAAAATATAAAAAAATATTTTGTAAAATATTTCGCTATATATATTGCTATATATGAGCAGTGATCCAATGAAACTGTTGTATCATAGTATAATGCAACAACATTTCAAGAAAACCATGTTTGTGGCATTTGTATGCCCCGAAGATTTGCACACACACTCTCTTCATCTCAATAATCAATCCCAAAAAAAAAAAATCAATTTGAACCCTAGATATGGTCAAAATGAATCCCTTCCAAAAACGAATCTAGACCATTCGTTTTGTGAATTTCAAGATCTTAGCCTTATAAACTCAAAATCATTGTTTTATTTTTTTAAATTGTTCATCTAATGATAATTAAGCTATCCAAAAAAATTGGAAATGAAAAAACCCTTCTAAAGCCTAGATCTAAGCATCTCACCAAAATAAACGGCCTATGTTAATTGGGCTAAAAAAATAATTTCTAGGTTGTGTTTTCAAATTTTTTTTTTATAATTAATAAACAAAAAGAGTGTATATTTCAAAATTTGGATCAAACAAATGGTCATAAGATGGTTTCAAAGGTTATTGTATCATATTACTATACAATAGTTGCATGAAATCATTGCTCTGATATAAGATATATATAAAATCAGTACATGGTAATTGAGTAACTCGATCGAATATAAAAACAGTGGTTCTTATTTAGGCTTTACCTTTAGCTGCGAGTAACTTGGCCAGAGTCTAAAAAAAAAATGGTTCCTATTTAAGCTTACCTTCAAATGTGCTTACCTTTTATAGTATTTTAGAGAAAAAAAAGAAGAAGCTATTCCTATCATTTAAAAAGGAAAGGTCCATAATTATTGTTTTAGCTTCTTCACGATCATCGTGATAAGAGGATCGGCAGCCTAGATGGACGATCCACAACCATGCCGCATTGACATGGATCAATCTCTAGAAAACTGGATCGTCAGGGTGAACTGGCTATTTAGGAAAGCGGTCGAAGCCGGCAATTCGCCGATCTGGAATTTAGTCGAGAAAAATAATCAATAAAAAAAAAAAACAATTGAGAACATTAAAGAAAAAAAAAATTTGTGAACCGATGAGCTGCTAACGGAAAGAATCCAAAACTTGATATATAAGGGAAATTGTACATCTTTGTGAAATGCATTTTAGATCAGGCGAATTCGGAAGGTATTTTCGAAAAGATTGACAAAGGGTAAAGTTTCTATAAGGCCTAGGCTCTATAAAACAAAATAAAGCCTCGCCTCAAATACTTGTCTGAAAAGCAATTTTGGCAATGAAAATCTCCATGATGACTTTGAAATCAATTTCCAACACTAATAATAGATTTTGAAACTAAAGATACAAATCTTGCGAATCTATAAACACTTATTTTTAAGCAAAATAGACTGCCTAGATAATTTAATGCAATATACATTATTTTTAGAGCTTTAAATTCTATTTTTTTTTGCAAATATAATGTTCAAGCTGAGATAATCGATATAAAGATTTTTCAATATTTAAATTACAATTTTCAATAAATTATGAATAATGCTTTATTTATTTTGATAGAGCTGCAACCCTATCAAACCATTTTCAATTAATTCCATGGTTTTGGAAAATGGTCTTAGCCAAACCACCTAAGTGGGTGCTTTAACCCTCAAAAGCATATATATATATTTGGAATTTTTTAGTCTTCCCTCACCAACTCACAAAATTTGCACGCCTAAAACAGAACAAAAAGTTGTGACCCATCCGTTCTTCCAAATGGAGGCTAAAGATTTTTCCCTTGATGGATAATGGATTTATGGTACTTCTCGAGCTCATTTAACATGTACCAATTTTTGCGTGTGTTATTATTATCATCAGAGCTATGCTTTAAACTATTTAAAATTGACTACACAAGTCATGATCTATCATTTTGCTTTATTCAATAAAACTATTTACTTTTGATAGAAGGTGGTCAGAGTTACTATTTGATGACGAGTTTGATAGCTTAGATGTGTCACAAATATTCCAAAAAAATTACTTGAAAGTTTGAGTTTGGTCAATAAAATAATTACAGTCACCTAATTTCACTTCTAACGGTCAAGATTAGTGTAGGTGTCAAAAGTAAATGGTCCTATCCTATACTTACCCGTTAACTTTTGGGAATATAATGATTTAAACAATTTTAAAGGAAAATTATAAAAAACCCCTCAAAGTATAATCTATGCAACTTGCCCCCAGCTAATTTTTTTTCTCACTTTTTTCCCTACAAAGATCTATTTTTGCAAAAACTTCTCAAGATAAAAAGTTGTTATTTTTTTTTAAAGAAAATACCCTTTTTTTTAAAAAAAAAAAAAAAAGAGAAAAAGAAAGAAGAAGGTCAATTGATGGTCCCAAGTAGCATATTGCCGGAGCAACCAATTCAACGGCCGAAGTGATGTGGTTCCAGAAAGTATACTGCCTCTACTGCCAGAGCGCTTGTTTTTATTGCCAGAGCGACCTATTTAACTACCTGAGTGTTGTGTTACCAGAAGGCATACTGCTGGAATACGTCTTTGTACTACCAGAGCGTGTGTCCTCATTGCCAAAGCGACCTATTTAACCGCCGAAGCACTATAGCTCCAAAAAATGTACTACTAGAGCGAGTCTTTGTATTTGCCGAAACGTGTCTTCATTGCGGAAGCATTGTCCTCATTGCCAAAGCGACCTATTTAACCTCCGAAGCACTATAGCTCCAAAAAATGTACTGTGAGAGCGAGTCTTTGTATTGCCGAAACGAATGTTTTCATTGCGGAAGCATTTAAATGGACTGCGAGAGCGCATGGGGAGAGATTCATGCGTAAAAACCACAAGGAGAGCGAGGGGGGTTAGTTGGGTGGTAAGTTGCATGGTATAATGGAGAGGGGCGTATAAAATAATTCGGCCGGGTCGGGTCGATGGGTGGTAGACCCAATTTACCTATTCGCGGCCATATTATCCAATAGGGGCGGCTCAGAGAAACCGCCTAATATCCAACCATCCTGACCGTCCTTTCCCAGGCTAACTCCATCGGCCATTAAAATCTTATCCCACCTCCAAGGGTGTTATCGTCATTTACCCATTTAAAGGGTAATTTGGTCATTTCCAAATTTAGCGGCGGCTCTCTCTCTCCGTCTCGTTATGAACCAGGGGGCCGCCGCTAAAACCCCTATGAGAAGTAGAAAAAATATCACCACTTTGGAGACGTGTCCTCCCTTTCTCTCTCCTCCCTTTCTCTCTCTTCTTTTACTCCTGTCATTCCCTTGGTTTTATATAACCCTAAAACCCTAGCTTCATTACTTTTCCTCTCTCCTCTATCGTAGGGTACCAGTTCCAATCCCCTCTCTCTCTCTCTCTCTTTCTCTCTCTGGCTTCCCTACATAGACAGGACTCGCATTGGTGGATTAGGGTTAGAGTTTCGGCATCGATCCTTTCAAACTTTGCTGGTTTAGGGTTGGGTTTCACCGGCTCGTGCCCCTCGCTCTTTCAAGGTATGGCTTCTATAATATGCCGCACTGCACCTCTGGTTTTCTGTGGCTAGGTTTTACTGGTACACGTCTTTGAGTTAAGCGGTGGGGCTTACGATCTTTTGTTCTCTGCCTTAGGGTTTCGATACAGAGGTGGTTCTATTCTTCTTCTCTGGTTCCAAGGTTCGAAAACGCTATTATTTTCTAGAGTTTGGCTTGATTTTGCATCTATTATTTATTTGTAGGGTTAGGGTTTTGACACCGCGTTATTCTTCTTAGGTCTCGAGGGTTTCGACAGCCATTTTTGTAGGTTTAGGGTTTCATTTCGAAGATGATGCAGCAACCTGGACAAGGAGTTGTTCCCCCTTCGATGGCTCCCCCTCCCATGGATCCACAGCAGCAACAACCACCACCTCAACAACAACCATGGATGATGATGCCTCCGCAACCGCACCCTCAACAACCTTTGCCACAACCTGTGAATCCACAAGCTTCTCACATGTGGAACCAGCAACCGCAACCTCAGCCTCAGGTTCAACCTCAGGCTCAAGCTCAGCCTATGCAGGTGCAGTATTCCATGCAGCCGGCAAGTGCTGATGAGGTTCGAACCCTATGGATTGGAGATTTGCAGTATTGGATGGATGAGGCTTATATTCACAGCTGCTTTGCTCATACTGGAGAGGTGAGTCATTTGTGATATTTTCATGGAGTCATGTGTGATATTTTCATGGAAGTTATAGATTGTGTTTTTGTTGAAATTTGTTTGAGAAGGTGAATCATAGGTGTTTGATAGGTTGTTCTTTAGATGGTTGTTATAGATTTGCGATAGGAATACTTCTTCTTGTTTAGTTATTTACTGTTTAGGACTTATATTGAAGTTATAGCTTTGCATATAGATATTTGTATTTGTTCTTTTATGACTGTTCAAGTACTTTTCTTTTCTCCGATGTCTAAAGTCATTCAGAGTTGTTTGATTGTTTGAGACTTACACGGTAGTGACTGATACACACGCCAAAAGTTCACATAAATGTAAATTATAGTCATTTGATGGTTTTTGACCCAGGGGAAGTTAAAGATAGACATATAACTAGGTTTTCACAGTGTTGACACTCTTATTGCTGGCCTTTTATCTTTTAATTTATGTCAAGATTAACTACACTATCTAAAGAAAATAATGAAATTTACAGGCACTTGCTGGATTTAGTCTTTTAGATTTACAATGGTAAAAAAATCTTTCTGGTTTTACACAGTTGCTGGTAGTTATGGAAGGCCGGTGACTTAGGTGAAAATCTTTGGGCATATAATGTTGGTCAAGTCCTTACTGTTGTCAACATGCCAGATAACAAAGGGTGAGAGGGTTTAATTGTTTTGTTATCTTCGTTTTTCTTGGTAATTTTTTGTTGAGGTTTGAAGTTTTTTTTATGAGTGTACATACATTCAGCAGGAACAAATATGATTTATCATGCCTTATTTAGTACAAACTATAGTCAACATTATATAAAAAGAAAAAGTATACTAGGATGAACATGATTTCTTGGGGCTTTTTATGTTGATGCTTTTGATGTATGAGACATTTTAGTGGTAATTATTTGAATCAATGGCTGGGATGCTGTGTATCTTTGAGGATGATATAAGCGACACTATACTGGAAAAAAAGAGTATAATTGTTCTCAATTTGACAATAGATGAAGCTGTGGAGGATAAACAACCAATTTGCATTGCATTTTTCATCGTTTAATGCAAGATTCCTTGTATGGTAAATCATAGGTTTTTTGTATGAAAACTAAAATTTTAATGGTATTCTGTTTGACAAGTGGTTGTAATGCCATTAGCTTAAAGATAACATATTGATTTTTTTTTGTTCTAGTGGTCTAAGTGATGGAAGTACTTCTGCATGATTTTCATTAGGTCTTGTCAATAGATGGTCCACAGTGAGAATACATAATTAATAATTTTATTATAGTGAGAATAAAACTTTGTAAAGATTTCATAGTTTGAGATGTTGACAGGCATCCACTGGTACAGGGGATACATGTTGTCTTTTATCATATCACTGCAAAATGACATCCACATCTGCAATTATAGTGGATGTCCGTCCAATTTTTTAAAAACTGTGTGCTTGGTTTGGGGAGTTTCAACCTGTTCCTGATCTGTTGAGAATTGAATTCTCTACCATAAAGTTTGTGAGAACAAATATTCATTGAATGTGTTCATTCCTGGTTCTACTGCAGTATCTTGTCGAATCTTGGGATTCTTCTTTTGCACCTTACTGATGAAATGCAGGCTATGTAGTTATCTTGTTGAATCTTGGGCTGCTTCTTTTGCACCTTACTGATGAAATGCAGGCTATGTGGTTTTGTATTTTCTATTTTACCTTCATTTGTAAAGTACTAGAAACAAACTCCTTATTGGTTTAATCTTAATAGATTGTTATTGCTTATATTATATTATTTGGAAAATTCTCACTTATCCTTGCATTTAACACCTTCCACACCCATTCATTGCAGGTTCTTTCTGTGAAAATCATTCGTAATAAGCAGACTGGTCAACCTGAAGGTTATGGCTTCATTGAGTTCGCCAGTCGTGCAACAGCTGAAAGGATTATTCAGACTGTCAATGGCACAACTATGCCTAATACCGAGCAGTCGTTTAGGCTGAATTGGGCAACATTTGGTGGTGGAGATAAACGGTCTGAGGGTACTGACTTCCCTGTTTTTGTTGGAGATTTGGCTTCTGATGTCACTGATTACCTGCTACAAGAGACCTTCCGTAGCCACTATTCATCTGTCAAGGGTGCAAAGGTTGTAACGGATAGACTTACTGGACGTTCTAAAGGCTACGGTTTTGTTAGATTTGGGGATGAAAATGAGCAGTTGCGTGCAATGACCGAAATGAATGGTGTGTTTTGTTCCACGAGGCCAATGCGAATTGGGCCGGCTACTACCAAGAAAACTGTGGGTGTTCAGCAACAATACCCTGCAAAAGGTAAGCATAAATTTGTATAATTTTGGTGACATTGTATTTATGTTATCTGGTAGATTACTGATTGGAATTATATTTTCTAGCTACTTTTTGCTTGGTTAGTGGTGAATTTGTATGATTGTATGCTACAAAGTGCTGGTTGTTCTAGTGTATAGTAGAATTTTAGGGAATTCTTTATATCATCTATATGGGCATTGTTGGAATGTTACTTCTACAGCTATGTTACCTATTGGGTTCCTCTGCTTATGATCTTTTGTCCTTGTTTGACTGTAAACTTAGAGTGATCAGGTCATTGGGTTCTGTTTGATTTTGCTAGTGTCTTAATTTTCTGGAGTTTTTGTTTTCACAGTTATACATTTGAAGAGAAGCCACCATATGTTGCTTCAGTAGATCTACGAAGTCATTTCCTTCCTAGTACTTTCCTTTCCATTGTGAAATTGGGCACATTAATTGGGGTTTGAAAGCTATGAAAACTTATAGAACTCATGTTTTCTCAAAGCAGGATGCCAAGAGGCTCTGTCCACTTAGGGGCCTGGAACAGATTTCAGCAGAAACGAATGTCTCTTTTAGTGCGTGGCATCGTTTAGGTCAGTGTTGTTTATGCAATATTTTTGTCCTTGCATTTGGAATTTCAGTAGCATTTTTTATGCTACATTTTCCGCTTACTTTTTATTTAAAGAGTTGCCAGTCTAGCTACTTCTCCTTTGGGTATCCTTTCTTTTTCTTAAAGCAGTCTATTTTTTTTACTGTGGATCTATTGCATTTTCAATTATGTCTGTTAATTTATTTTTGATGCCCCATACGAATTCTGATTCACATTTGTCTTTTCATTCCATTAGAAGAGGCTTCTGGAGGTCAAATTGCAATTATTTATGATTCAACTCCAGAATGCCATACACAGCACATGGCACAAATGCCTTGTCTACTAGAGTTGCATATAGTTATGCTTTTCCTCTTTCCAAGATAGGCTGTTCTCTGTGTCATATTTAACACTGAAGTCATCACTTTTGGGTGTCCCTATTGAGGAGTAGCTGGGTCTCATGATATGTTGTTTGGTAAGGTGATTTTGTCAAGCATTGAAAGCACCTCACTATGATCAGGGTCTATCATAGATGTTTCCTAGAAGTTTGATCTGGGTTAAGCATAATTAGTATAAAAAATTGGTCTTTGTGGCCTAAACATTGTTAGTGTTGTGTTGAATTGGAATAGGCTTGCGTGTAATGCAAGGATGTTTCTACATGATGGTGAGATGTTTTTGCATTGGTGATGCCAAAAAAGTGTGAAAAAAGGATAATACATTTGGAGATCTGAAGTGGATTTTGGAATGTACTGTTCTCATCAACGGATGAGCACACTTTCACGGTAAAATTTATGCTTATGGATGCATGTGTCAATGCATCAATTGGCATGAATTTCTCCAAAACCTGTTTCAGAAGGTGCTACCTGTTTCCAAAATGGGTGGGGAACCATGTCATAGGTCACTTGTGTCCCCTGTTTCTTTCCTTCCCCACTTCTTTTCATCTTGTCTAGCATTTTTCTAATGCTTTGCCTGAAGTCTCCACATGTTTTCCCAGTTTCTGATTTTGCTTAGCTTAATGTTTGAGCACTTCGTCATCATCATCTGAGCCTCATCCTAGCTATTCTGTAAATGGCCTCCACTACTTTAATCATGTCCCATTTCAATCTCTTTTGCCAAAACTGAGCTGGCAATTGCTTGAGATGATAGCATGAATTGTTGCCATTACTGTGGTGTATTTAGGTGAAACATATTAACAATCTTGTGGTTCATGTAGAACTCGTTAACCTGGGTGGTTAGGTATTTGCATAATTCAAGTTTCTGTGTGCTCCTCAATAAGAGATCCTTGATTGAGTAAGGCTTGTTTTTTCCATTTGGTTACTATTTCAACTGCTAAGAATGTACTTGTGCTCCTTGCATTCTCCTGGCTCTGTAACGGATTCCATTCAAATTGTGTGTGTTCAAATGAGGCTCTCATCAATTCTATGACTTTTGTTTGTCATGTATAAGGCACAAACTTTTAAGAATCTACTTGGCTGGAGAACTTCGCCACTGGCCTTGCCAAGATACTTGGTCTGATTTTACTCACCCGTGTCCAGGCTAAGCGTTTACAAAAATCTTCAAAAGAAAGGTTAAAAAACTTGGACAAAAAGGGAAGAACTGAAAATGATCTTTTACAAATATAAAGCATGGTAATTTCTACTTGCTAAAATTACCTGTTAATCACATGTAATGTATTGTTATTTAAATTTTTGCACTATGCTAGTAGAAGCAATAATGGAAAAATTTCATCTTTTGTAGATGTAAAAATTAACTATTTGTGTTAAAAAGCCCAACATTATAATTGCACAATATTAAGCTATTTGTAAAGGTAAAGAGTTACTCTAAATACAAGAAAAATGGGTGGAAAAACACTTGAATTGTGCACTTTTATTCATAGATTGCTACAAAAATGCAGCAATTAAATAAATTCAAGTTCAATTTACATTTTTAAAAGAACAAAAAAAATCTTATGAATTAAACATGAGAAAAGAAGAAATCTAAAATTTCGCGCGAAGCTCCTGGTTCCAAGATCTTGGCACTAGATGCCAGTCAACACCTCAAATTCTTGTCAAACCTTTCTCAGGCAACCTCAATCAAGCATTCCAAACGAATTTTGGGTTTGGAGTTCAGATCTCTTAGACCTGGCTCTTGAAATATTTGGATGAATGGTACATCTGAAAATTAATATGTCTAAAATTTCAAAACTTCTACTTTGTTTGGGGTGAAGTAAGTCTATGATTGGGCAGGGAACCTGAAAATAGACTTAATGATATTTTATTAAAGGGTGTGGTACAATCAAAGTAAAGCGCGCCTTCAAATAGTGTCGAGAAATGTGGTTTCAACCTTTAAAGAGTTTTTCTCTAATCTAGTTAATATTTTGGCCAACTGGGTGCCAACCTTAAAGAGGCCATCCATAAATCCATTTTCTTCCCCCGGTATCGATAAGAATTGGGGATCCATATCGACAAGGCTGATAGATAAAGACTTTTCCTCTTTGTCAAAGAAGTTCTTTGTTAAAAAAAGAAAAGGAAAAAGGCTTCCCTTCTTCCTCCAGGCAGCACTAGCCCTTGGTTTTGGCAACCATCAAGTCATGCCAAATGCCCGAGTGTTGTCGCCATGCTTGGGCAAGTTTGTAGTACTTGGCCTAGTGCAGTACACTCTTCCTATCTAGTGTGCAAACCGCCACTACTCTTCTCCCTTGATTTTTTTTTTTTTTTTTTTTTGGGTATTTTGGGTGGGGGGTGTTGTTGTTTTGATCTTGGCACCTTGCTGAGCCCCAATTATTTGGGTGAGTCCAGGTTGGATTTTTGTTGTAAAACACTAATAGGGAATGTTCATATTTTTTTTAATACCAATATTGGTGCATTTTTTAAATGGGAATCCCTACATTGTTGTGCTGGCTGGGTCATCACCGAGGGCTGTTCAGTTCAGGTATGTATGAGAACATTTCGGACTTAGTACTTTTTTACAATCTATAATTGTACACCATGATTGTGGCTTGAGATTTAGGTACTTGGTACTTTATAATTTATAGTTCTACACCATGATTGTGGCTTGAGATTTGAAGGGTGCTGTTTGGCTGGCTTCTTTTGTTCTGCCAGTGTTGGTTGACACTTGACAACACACCCCCCTCCCGCCAAAAAAAAAAAAAAACCCCAACCCTGGCCCACATACATTGACAACTTTTCTTCTAGATATTGTTGATTTTGATTGTTCCAACTGGGTGCATAAGAGTTCGGATTGAATGTTGTATGTACTGGTGGATTGTTTTAGTCTGGAGGATAATCATAAGCTTATATGTGCTTCTTGGGTTAATATTTTGTGTAAAATTCCAGCTTTGCTATGATATAATCCAACTGTAGATTAGAGATGGAAAACAAAGGTTGTGTTCTTGCCAATAAGTTATTGTCATTCCTTATCAAGGATTTCTGTTGAAGTAAGTATTGGACGAACATTGTTGACCTGCCAGTCTATATTGTCATTTGTTCTGAAGCATTGCCTATTTTGAGTTGTGCACTTCTCCTCAAGTTTTGTTGAGGACAATTGTAACCTGAGATGGTGTTCGTTTGTTGAACACTTGGGTCTGTTACAGCTTACAGGCCTTGTTTGTTTGTTTTCTGAAGTGGTTTAAGGTAACGAGTACTATTTTTGAGTTCATATGATCAAATTTCATTGGGTTTTTGGCTAATTGAATTGAGCTTTTATCTTGTTTTTGTAGGAAAGTTTTTGTTAGAGATCACAAACTTATTGTTGATTTTTTAAGGAGCAATATATCGGAACACAATATCTTTAAATGAGCTGGTTTGTCATGGTTTTCCAGTTGATCTATAGCTTGGCATAATGTAGTGAAGATGTTGTTCTCGGAGCTTCTCTCGTCTTGCAACTAATGTTTGCAACAGACTGCTACTTTTAGACTAAAATTTAGTCAAAAATTTTACATAAGCTTGTGCGAGAAACCTCTAGGCTTTAATGGAAGGTGGAATGTTTACTTGACTACCTGTAAATTTTTATTTTTGTTACTTTAATTGGGAACAACTTAGGATTGATATGTCGTCACTTGAATGCTTACCTTTCGCAATTATGTGCTGGTTTTCCATTCCATTTTACAGGTAGATCTTACTGTTTGAGTTCAAGAGATGCTATTCATATCCTGTAGTTGGATCAGTCCATGATTGCTCTTTCTGATTTTGTTTTGCATTTACTTGGGTGACTTCGGTTTTGGAGGCATTAGATGATTTTGAATAGATGATATGAGACCTGCAATGTGTTATCTTTTTTAAATTAACTTTGTTATCTTGGTGATGTTAGGTTAGAAAGTCGATTTTTTTCCATTAAAATTTTTTACATTTTGATTTTTGGGTAATTAAAACTTATGCAGCTCATTTTTATAAAAAAGTTATTTATTTCCTTCCTTGCTCAACTTGTCATTTACAGCTCCTTATCAAAGCAATCCTCAAGCAAGCCAGTCCGAGAGTGATCCCAACAACACAACTGTGCGTTCTTTTTTTTCCATTTTATATATAACTGAGAGCTGCAAAGCATGTGCCCCAATTCGTTATGACTGTTTTCTTCTGTTTGAGCAGATTTTTGTTGGGGGTTTGGACCCAAATGTCAACGATGACATTCTCAAACAAGTTTTTGGTCAGTATGGAGAATTAATTCATGTAAAGATCCCTGTGGGCAAGCGCTGCGGGTTTGTGCAATTTGCGAACAGGTTTGATTTTTTTTTTCGACTTTTTATTTCTGTTTTTTGAATTAGGCAATGTGTATTTGGGGTTTATTTGTTGCAACATCTTTTGTATTGCAAGCTTAGACTTAAATGCTATATTTCTCTCTCTATTTACATAAATGTTTTTTTTTATATTGATCTTTATGTGCTCCAGAGCATGTGCGGAAGAGGCTTTGCTGATGCTCAATGGAACTCAATTGGGGCAGCAATCAATTAGGCTCTCATGGGGACGCAGCCCTTCAAACAAGCAGGTAGTTACGTCTTGTAGCATTCAGGGGCTCTCCTTAATACATAGGATACTGCATACATCCTCCTGTAGTATTTTGGTGATGGTACACCTGGAGGATTATTCCTTTCTTTCCTCATGACAGATGTTGGATATTAACATACACTCACTCGGGTATGGTTAATCTCCACCACTGATCATTGTGAATGGATGGTGGATGTTCGATCAAGTGCTGTATACCAGTGTTTGATGTACAAAATGATTTACCTGGTTTACCAAATAAAAACTAGTTGCAAAACAACTGACATTTTTTGCAGGATTCATCTGGTTCATGGCCTCAGCCTCAAGCAGATCCCAACCAGTGGAATGGTGGTGCCTATTATGGCTATAATCAGGGTTATGAGACTTACGGTTATGCTCCTCCCCCTCAAGATCCTGCTATGTATGCTTATGGAGGATATCCAGGATATGGAAACTACCAGCAGCAGCAGGTATGTTTTTTTTGTCCTGTTTTTTTGTGAATTATTTTTAAGCTTTTGTTGTAGATATAGAACTGAATGGTATTCATTGGTCTTATGGGCATCTAATGACACTTTTGTGTGGAAATTTTGGGAGAAACACCCACAAAGGAGCATTTATTTAATTTAAAATTTTGTAAATCACTTAACATAATTAAAAAATAAATAAATTGTGAATCACTTTAGAATCACCAGATGACTAATTTCCAAAAACAAAATAAAAAGAAGATTTTGAGTTCCTAAACACCTTGATTTGCCAGTGTTCAATCTTGAGATGTATTTCTTTCGAGTAGTTTTTGAATGCATCTTCCTTTTTAGCTTGGTTGCTAGATGCGCCGATTGCATCCCTGACATTTGGGGTTTCAGAAAATGCACTTAGGTTGGTTTGGACCAGAGGGAGTAAGTGCATATTTTGGACCTGTTGCACCCATATCCAATTTGTGATCACGGATCAATGGACAGTGGAGATATAACTTTACTGGTTAGATGTGAAATGCACATATTTGGACTGTCCATTTCTTTTTCTTGATATGCATTTTGATCGTCCATCATTGAGAATAAGCAATATGTTGTTTTTATTTGAATCAATCATATTCGTATCTGGTGTGATGTCACATATTAAAGAATTCATCCACTCTGCTGGTACTCGAGACGTTTGGTTTATAAGCACCGGGTTTAATAAGAAACTTGTTTGTGAGCTTGTTTTGTTTTTGTGTTCTGTGTGAGAGAGAGGGAGATTTTCAACTAATTACTGGTGTTATGTGCACAGAGTTAGAGAGATTTTCCGCTTAATTACTGGTTTTATTTGCAGTGAGCTCAACCAAGGTGGTTTAGAGAGTTCTGAGCGGCACAGGGGAAAGGTTACATTGGTGTGGACGTTTCGGGGCCCCTTCTACATGAAATCATGAGGTTGTGTGAATCAGAAGAGGGGTGTTTTTTCTTGTAAGTTGCGTCTTTATGTTATAGACGAAGGGCTTGTTTGCCACATAATCTAGTACTCACTCGAACCTTGAATGATAACATAAATCGTTTGTGCGTTTGTTTTTTCCTGATGTTATATCCAACTCTTTAACATCAAAATATCATTTGCTAGTTGTTTGTTTCCCGATCAATCTGGTCTCAGTTTTGGTAGTACTGTTGCAGCCTTGTTATATCTAATTATGGACTCTCATGATTATAAATGGAGAACCCCTTGGTTTTAGGTTTTATTTCTCAATAGATGGAAGGTTTCAAAATATATCTTGGGCAATAGCGATGTTAGGTATTATTATATCTTCTGACCGCTCCGAACAACTCGAACTTTTTTAACCCAAACGCTTATCTCTCTTCATACCTTTTCTAAATCTCTTCTCTCATGTGATATTCCCCAAACTTATCTCCCATGGTTCTCGCCAAACCTACCTCTGTATTTTTCAAACTCTCGTGTGTCTACTCAAATCCCTCTTTATTTTTCGAACTCTCTTCACCCGTGTTTCTCTCTGAACCCATTTTCCCAAACGAAAGAGGCTATCTTTCTCTCTACAGTCTACAGTATCAATCGCAATAATCCAAATAAAACACTCTCTCTCTTTCTCTCTCTCTCGGATTTTTAATAGCTTTGCATCCTCACCAAAAATATGAATGTTTCCTATTGTAGAACACCAGAAGTCAAAACTTTGTTAGTCAGCCCTAAATCATAGCAATTCAATAGTGTCGACTCTCTGCAATAGTTCCATCACAATAAACCAAAAGATCGTCTCTCAAGAACGGTAGCTATGGCTTCCAATGTTGGAGATGTGGCTTCAACCCATGCAACATCAAAACTAATAGTGGAGATGTGGTTTCAACCCAGTCAACATAAGCAGCCTCATCTTTCTCCATCGCAATTGCAGTTCTCGGTGTAGTCAGCTCAAATTACAAAATTTTAGCGACCGCTAGATGGAGTCAGCTCAAATTACAAATTTTAGTGACAGGTGGAGGAGATTTTGGTGACGGCTAGATATAGTCAGCTCAAATAACAACTTTCAGTGACAGGTGGAGGAGATTTTTAGTGTCGGCTAGATGTAGTCAGCTCAAATAACAACTTTTACTGACAGGTGGAGCTGGGTTCTTTGGCTCCCACTGAGTCCATAAACTAATGGAAAATGACAAAAATGAAATTAATGGAAAATAACAACTTCTCGTGACAGGTGGAGCTGGGTTCTTTGGCTCCCACTAGTCCATAAATTAATGGAAAATGACAAGAATGAAATTAATAAAAAATAACAAAAATGAGGTTGGAGAACTTTAGGAAATAGATTGAGCATCCATCACTAAGGATTTTAAAGAAGAACTTTAGGAAATGGATTGAGCATTCAAATATTGAACTCGATATTGAACCTTCGTTGATTAAAAACCGGATTGATCAATCCTATGATGCAATTGAATATTAAGGTTGATAAAATTTATCTGAACCTTGTTGATAGAGGTTGATAAAATTTATCACCTCGCTCTACAAATAAACGCGGTAAAGATAATAAAGGCACTTCATCATGAAGTGATTGAACGTTTGTTGATTAAGGTTGATAGAATTTATGTGAACCTTGTTGATTGAGGTCGATAAAATTTATCACCTCAATCTACAAATAAAAAATTGAATATTCTGGGTCTTGCTAAGTGAGTTGGAGCAAGAATCTTGCTAACATCAACCTCTGATTGGAAGTCTATGGAGTTCGTTACCATGAAGAGTATTGGGGCAACGTCAACCCAATTCCCAACAAATGCAACCTTTTAAACAATTGAATTTTTTGGGTCTTGCTAAGCGAGCTGGAACAAGAACCTTGCTAACATCAACCTCTGAAGTCTATGAGGATCCAAATACAACCTCTTAAAGACAACTTAATATTTTGGGTTTTGCTAAGCGAGTTGGAGTACGAATCTTGCTAACATCAACCTAAGAGTATAGGGCAACGTCAACCTTGTAAAGACAATTGAATCTTATGGGTCTTGCTAAGCGAATTGGAGCAAGAATCTCGCTAACATTAACCTCTGACGTCTATGAGGATCCAAAGACAACCTTTTAAAGACAATTTAATATTTTGCATCTTGCTAAACGAGTTGGAGCAAGACTCTTGCTAACATCAACCTCTGAAGTCTATGGGGATTCTCATAATGAAGAGTATTAGGGCAATGTCAACAATTTTATAGTGCAGGCACTCAAGGGAGAGCCATTGATAGTCCAGTCTCCTGGATCACAGACTTGCAGCTTCTGCTATGTTTTTGATATGGTTGATTGTCTTAATTGATCGTATTCAACTAATGATGTTTCTGACATGGTTGATGGTCTTATTCTTATTCGATGTTATTCGACTAATTGAAGGGGAAAAGAGTGGAGTTTGGGGATAATCATGAAGAGAGATCATTGGGACTATAGAGTAATTTATCATTGTACTCAATAATTTTAGACACTTCTATACTTTTGTTTTGTACACGAACCATTTTTTTAATAAAAGTATTTTTGTAATTAAGAGAGTGTGACATCATCAACATATGACCACATGGAGCATTAAATGCCACTAATATAATCCATGTGAGTGATGTCATACCCCATGTTTATGACGTCATACTCTCCTAATGACAAAAAATAATCTTAGTAAAAAAAATATTCAATGTACAAAACAAATGTATAAAAATGTCCAAAATTGTTGAGTACAATGATAAATTATTCCATATATTATGAGCACCCTAACATAACCTTTAGTTGAATCATATTTTCTAAAAAAACCGAAACGTGGGGTCTCTATTCAAGGGTGGATATTTATTTTTTTCATGCATATGCATAGTATGTTTTATTTTGTTTTTTATGCACAAATGAAAATAGAAACAAGTGCTCTCTCTCTATCATAGATTTGCATTTAGAGAGTGCCTCAAATATAAATGTTTAATGATTGTACCGCAACTCATTCTTATTACTTATTTATTTTTAAATTATATTTAGAGAAAAATAATAATAATTTTTTTTTGACAAAAAAAAAAGATATTTTCTTTTGAGCTATCAAAACTTTTTGGCACTTGAGTTACATTGTGATGTATTACGATTCTCACAACTTTGTGAAGATCAAAGTAAGCAAGTGCGCTCTTTGTGAGGGTGTTGGGTAATTTTTCACTTAAAAAGGAAAGTGGATTATGAGACTAAAAATATAGCAGCGCATGGTCTTACGGGTCTATGTTGTACATCTCCACCCTTAGATATGAAACCCATCTAGGAGGTACTATAGTTTAAATTTAATTTTACTTGTTGATTAACAATATTGTCTGCTTTATGAAAATATTCTGATTGTATTTTACGTTTTCAGAAATTTAACTTTCTATATAATAAACGAAGATTGTAAAATATGGAGTCTATTTCTATGAAAAATATGAAATTAATAAGATATTTTATGAAACAAAACATAATTTCCATCAGCTGACATCCTTAAAATTGGCAACCCTAAAGAGTACCTCCGTCATAATTATTGTGATTTTTTTAATTGACTCATGATTTATTGTTATTGTTATTTTTATGTTGTTCTTTAATGTAACATAATACAATATTTAATAATATAATAATTTATATATAATCTAGCAAAATTAATTTTTATGAATAATAACTAAAAATTAGAATTAAAAATTTTACTTCATATCTTTGTAGTTAAACGAATAGAAATGTGCCTTTCGCTAAGGGTACTTCTCAGGCGTGTGCTTATCTGATTGATCAATGCAGTAGCTGGACTTAAAAAAAAATGGTTTAATTTTTTCATCTGAATTTTTTAGGGTTGTTTAATGATATAGAGTATGTGTATAATATATCTCGCAGGATCATCTTTTTTCCTTGCATGAAATCTTAAAGCCCTGAATTTTTTTCTAGCTGAAATTTTCGTGATATTTTTTATTCAAAAAAAAAAAATCGTGATATTTCAGTGCGATGAGGGCATAAACACGGGTGTATGGATGTGCATCCTGGCACTTTCATGTGAAGACGTTACATAATATAATATAATATAGCGTATTTTATTATATTATTATTTTATGCAATGATACACCAAGGCAGCAACATTTATTAATGGGTGAAGTTTCGATAAGGCCTAGGCTTTACGAAAACTAAATAAAGCCCGAGTTCAAAACCTCTTTTGGAAAGCACTTTTCGCAACATAAGTGTTCATGGTGGTTTCAAAATCCGTTTCCAACATTGATACTAAAATTTGAAATTAAAAAAATGTGCAAATCTTACAGATCTATAAACACTTATTTTTTTTACTAAATAGATGATTTAGATAATTTGTTACAATATACACTATTTTTAGAGCTTTTTTTAACAACCATAATGTCCAAGCCGAGATGATCAATGTAAAGGATTTCCAATGCTTGAATTACAATTTCGATGAGTTATGAGTTGAGGCTTTACTTACATTGATAGGGCTGCAACTATATCAAACCATTTTCCTTTATTAATAGCAGATTCCTTTCAAGTTTGAGCTTGGTCAATGGAATAAATGCATCCACCCAATTTCACATCTCAATACTCATGATTAATTGTGACCGCAAAGGTAAATTGTCTCATTCTATACTTTATATATATATATATATATATATATATAATATATATAGACTCGGATCTAACTCGGGTTTTTGATATACCTAGCAAGGTTGGGGTCGACCCGAACCTGATCCAAACCATTTCCACCCCTAAAACAATGGCCCTATTTCTTTTTCTTTATTTTTTCTAATTTTTTCTTTTCGTCTAATAGGCCGTATAACTTTAGCTTACCCTAGACTAGGCAGGGTTGAGCCAGGGCCCTGCGGCCTATCTCAGAGGCCCTAACCCTAGCCCGGCCTGTTGCAGCCCAGGAGAGGAGAAAATACGAGGAATGAGAAAACAAAAAGGAAGTAGACAAGTAATACATGGAACCTAGGCAACTTCACGACCAAATAAGGAATTAGTTTCAGATGTTATTAATAGCGTAGATAAGAACAAGTGTTTATAGCAGGAGTCTGAGCTTTAAATTTGAAGTGCTTCCTACTTGACAAACTACTAATTGTAACTAGGGCACTGAAAGTTCCAATCGTCAAACACGCACTGGATAAGTCTAAAGCTTTTTTAAGGGCTTGGATACGA